ATCTCAGGTTGCCTTTTTTCTTGATATATTGTAAATATCTCTGCCCAGTCCTTTGTTCCAAGATGGCCATACAATTTCTCACATGCTTCCGCATTGGGCTTCGAATTTATTCTGCAAAAAGGATTTGGAAATAATTCAAAGTATTCTTGTTAAAATGTTTTCTTTCTTTCTTTCTTTATTTTTTTGCCTTAAACATATATGCAAATGCAGTTTTGAGATATTGATGTCATAAAGCTGTTGCTTTGATGTTATCTTAATGGTGCTATTTCAATCATTTTTGAAGACTCAGGAGGATATGGATATCTACTAGAACCACTCTGGTGGATTGGCATGATAACTAGTAAGCCTTATCTTGTTAAAATTCTTTAGCTAGATATTTCTGGAAATGCTTCTCTCTGCTTAAATTTGAACTAGATTTACTGTACAAAATTTTACAGTGATTGTTGGAGAATTTGCCAATTTTGTAGCATACATGTACGCTCCTGCTGTCCTCGTGACACCGCTTGGCGCATTAAGCATAATTGTCAGGTAGATACGCATTACACAAAGCTTCCATCCCATACTTCTTCCACTCCCTCCCAGCTAAAACAAAGGACAAGAAAAGAGTGTCATTTCGAATTTCAAATTTTATGCTGCACAAGTAATATTATGTAAGCTGAAATACTGTTTATTTAATTGACAGTGCTGTTTTAGCTCATTTTTTGTTGAAAGAGAAATTGCGGAAGTTAGGAATATTGGGATGTGTTTTGTGTGTAGTAGGTTCTACTGTCATCGTGCTTCATGCACCTGCTGAACATGGTATTAGTTCTGTGGAAGAAATTTGGGAATTAGCAATACAGCCAGGTGAACATATTTCCCCAAGAGCTGTTATTTAAATTATCTTTATTTTAATGTAATACTCACAACAGAAAACAAGAGTCTCTTTTTTGATATTTCTTCTCCCCTCTTGGTTCAGCTTTTCTTTTGTATACAGCTTCAGTAGTAGCAGTGGTGTTGGTACTAATTTTGTATTGTGAACCACGTTATGGGCAAACAAATATCATGGTTTATATTGGCGTTTGTTCTATAATCGGATCCTTAACGGTTAGTACATGTCTTATCACTGTTATATTAAAAAAAAAAAAATGGATATTCACGCTTTAAGCATGTCGCTTCCCTAAATTACAAGCAAAGGAGCAAAAGGGCTTATTACATTAGAAGAGGATAGAATAAGCTTAATTGTTCAAAAAGTGTTAGCCAGGTAAAAATAATTAGAAACTTTTGGATTGGTGCAAATTCTGAAAATTATTGTGATGATAACTGAAGGCCAAAATGTAGATGAAATGATTAGAGATATTTTGTGTTATTTTTAGGCTAGGTTTTAACCATGTGGTAAATGAACAAGAAAACATAGACAAAAGGAGGTTGTTGGAGTTAAGATCTGATTGTCCTCAATGTTGCATTATGTATTTCTGGATGAGCTCAAAGAGCTTCTGGAAATTTGATTTCCGTTGAGCAGGAACAACCTTTTTGGCATTTCAACTCTCTAATTATGCTAAATTACATTCATGAGCTTGGTTTTCACTAGCAAAATCTGTATAATTACATATATATGGGCAAAGGAATTCTTGCCCTCGGCATTGGTGGCTTATTTTAGGTGTGGAAATCAATTGATCCAATGAGTGTCTTGGTCTTGAACCAAAATAAAAAAAATTATAAACTAGTGTACTATCATGCTGTGTCAGTCAAAACTCAAGAGCAAGAAATAGGAAGAATATATTGGCAAAGAAGTGCTAGCTTAATTTAACCATGACAGTTTTGGTGGGTCATTGCAGGTTATGAGCATTAAAGCAATAGGTATTGCTATTAAACTCACTTTGGAAGGCTCAAGCCAGGTCGCGCACTACCAAACGTGGGTATTCTCCATGGTTGCAGTTACATGCATAATTACTCAGTTAAACTACTTAAACAAGGTTGCTTACTTTTTTCCCTGCGTGATTTTTTGCTTTATTTTTTTACCCATCAAATGTTTGTGTGCCCGTATACGTACATAGACAATTTGCTTCACTTCTGTATATAACTGTATGTACTCCAGTTTTTGACAAGTTCTTCACTTATTCATCAACTTCTGCGGGTACTTAAACAACGCTAAGTAGATGTCGGAATTAAATATAAATACCGCTGTTTCTTGATTGATGATGGATTATTTTGTTTAAAGTTTCCAAATTAACTCCTGTAATTAAGTGACCTTTTAAGATTCTGCATACTCGCATTCACAAGATTTACTTCCCTCGTCTAACTCCTTAGAGTTAAATGGTCTCAAAATTGGCTCCAAGAATAAACAAAATTAGGTAGCTATATAGATATGATCTCTGCGGCCCAAACCCAGTGCTGCTTTAGGTTAGGGAGCTGGACGACAATTGCTCTGCATCCCCTTGCTAGACGTGCAACACAAAGTAAATGGAGAGTACACTTTTGAATAAAAGCTGCTGGCTGCATGGTTTTATCCATTGCATTTTCTTGGGACATATTGCGATGTCTTCTTGTAGTGCACTAGATTTATTGTTACTGTTTATATACATAGAAAAGTATGCTTACGTTGCTCATTGTATATTCAGATGCATTCTTGTATGTAAATTAAAGGAAAACAAATAAGTGTCTTGCACCTGTAGTTTATTCCCATCTATTATGGAGTTACATATGAGACTAAAAGTCTCAGTCAAACAGAAAGATGTGTAAAATTGCAGTTTCTCCTATTAGAGCATGCTCTTTTTTGCATCACGTTGTCATTTGAGAAATACTTCCCATCCATATGCAAAAAAAAAATGTAAAATAAAATAAAAAATCGAAGTTATGCTGAAACAAGTGATTATGGTATCTTTATTGTAAAGATTGGATGAGGAGTAATTCAACAATAGATTTGGAAACATGTGCATATTAGAGAGAATATTTGGATTCTTGTCTCTTATTAGTTTTATCTATATAGTGTGCAGTCAATTCGTTATTTTCAACATTTTTTTTTTTTTTTAATTTGTGAGTTCTCTTGGATTTTATCAAGCTTTAGATCAAATTCCAGTAATTGATTTTCAAATGTGGTTTCTCTTCAGGCCTTGGACATTCAACACTGCTGTTGTTTCCCCAATCTATTATGCCCTGTTCACATCACTCACTATTTTTGCTAGTGCCATAATGTTCAAGGTATATAAGCGTGTTTGGCATGTAGTATTAGTATCAAATGGACGGTACAATGGTCAAGATTTTAGCTTCTCTCTCCTTCAATACTGTCCAGTCCACCTTAGAGAACTCACTAGGAATGTCTTGTAAACCATTTCCATTTCTGTTTAAACACCAACATGTTTCTGCTACTCTAGGATTGGTCTGGTCAAAGTGCTAGCAGCATTGTTTCGGTTCTTGGTGGATTCATAACTGTTCTTTCGGGTACAATGATTTTGCACAGTACAAGAGATCAAGAAAAACCTCCAGCTGCAGGTACATACACCTCACCATGAACATACAGTTCGAGAAAAAGATGCAATATTTTGCCTTTCCACTTTGTTTCTGTTCCATTCTGCACATGCTATTGATGAGAGCTGCAAATAGCTTCTACCGCCCCTACAATTTTACTATTTGAGCACTTAATTTCTCAAATTCTGTCTTTGCTTCCTTTATGTTCAGAATATTTAGTTGGAACTTGGAACTATATTATATTTTAATTGAGATCTAGCCCTCATTTGGTAACAATTTTTTTACTCCAAAAAATTGATTTTTTTGCCGTTATTTCATTATTCCAACCATCATTTTTGGATGGTTTCTCAAAATTCTCCTTCTATGAAACTCATTAATTTAATTTTTCTGAAGATTAAATAAAAAAAAAAAAA